ATGCTGCCTTCCAGAACATGCTTGACAGCCTTTCTCCCCAAGTCACCTCGGGAAGGAGAGACCATTTTAATCAAGTATGCTGAGTCAGGAGCTTGGCATGGAGGCGTTACCAAGGAAGAGATCTGTGCCGAGCCTGCGTACAGATCATTAGCATGTAGTTCATTCTACAGGGGCACATGAGGTTGTGTAAAACCACTCCCAGGGACCCACAAGACAGTCATCAAAGCAGAGCATGGGTGCTGTGGCAAGTGCATGGGGGCATCAGGGATGAGAGAAGAGCAAAGGAAAGGAGGATTTCCCCAGAAGGCCTGCTGCTCTTAAACACAACCATGTCCAAAGAACCAAGGAGCATGTTAGCAACTGCCCCATGGTCGCTTCCAAAGTGTCCCAGGGTCTGAGAGGTGGAGGGGAGCGAGCTCCTTATAGGGAAACTGACAGAGAGTCATAGTGGGACCTAGTTTGGATTTGGCAACGTGGGCTACTGTGCAGGTTTTAAAACACAAAAATGCAGAGCACAGAGGATCTGTAGGGCAGGAAACTACTCTGTATGATGCCAGAATGGTGAATATTTGTCATTATACGTTTATTCAAACCCACAGAATATACAACACCAAGAGTGATCCCTACTGTGAACTATGGACTTTAGGTGATAATGTTGCATCAGTGTAGATTCATCGATTATATGAAATGTACCATTCTGTGGGGCACGTTGATAATGGAAGAGACTATGCCTGGGTAGGGACAGGGAGTAGAGTGGATATCACTATTTCTTCCATTCAATTTTGCTGTGAACCTAAAGCAGCTCTAAAAAAATGAAGTATATTGAAATTAAAAAAACAAACAAACAAAAAAAAAAACAGATGTCAGCAAATTCTTTGACAATCCTCCTAAGGAGAAGAAAGGTCTTTACATCTGTTCCCCTTGACTCTGAGTGAGCTTCTGACTTGCTTGTAATCAAGGGAATGTGGCAGAAGTTATGTTCCATGACCTCCAAAGCTAGGTGGCAGAAGACCTTGCAGCTTCCATCTTCTTCTCAGGAACACTTGCACTTGGAGCTCTGATCCTTGAGCCACTGTGTAAGAATCCTGCTGCCCTGCAGCGGCCATGCTGTGAGGAAGCTCAGGCATCTGGGAGGTCATGTATGATATGCTGGCTGGCAGCCCCAGCTGAGGGCCCAGCCCAGAGCCAGCAACATCTGTTAGTCACATGAATAAGTCAGCCTCTGCATAATCCCAGTTCCCTATAACCTTGAATTTTTCAGAGTCTTTGAGTCTTCCCAGATGAGGCCACAGATGTCGTGGAGCAGAGATAAGCAGTCCCTGCTACGTTCGGTTCACAGCCCTGGCCTACAGGATCTGCGAGCCAGGCAAAATGGCTGTTTTACGCCACTAAGTACGAGCCATCTGTAGTGACTGGCAGGGCTTCAGTGACCCAGTGACGGGGAAGGGGGTGAGGGTGAAAGGTATTAGAAAATGAAGAGAGAGAGAGATGAACAGATCAGAGGATGACACGATGGAAGACAGACAATGACCTGAACAATGCTGTTTACACAGACGGTCCACAACTTATGATGGTTTGACTTACAATTTTTCAACTTTACCATGGTGCAAAAGCAACACGTTCAGTAGAAACCTTGCCTCAAGTTCCCGTATGCCATGCCGTTTTCCATTTTCAGTAAATTACATGAGATACTCAACACTTTATAATAAAATAGGCTTTGTGTTAGATGATTTTGCCCAACTGTAGGCTGGTGTGAGTGTTCTGAGCTCGTTTAATGTAGGCTGGGTGTACTAAATGCATTTTTGACCCTTACTATTTTCGGCTTATGATGGGTCTATCAGGACACGACCCCAGCGTAAGTTGAGGAGCATCTTTACTGTTTTCTTTTTTGAGGTGAAAAAGGAACCGAATGTAATTGCATTTCATACACGATCCCTGGGCCCGGCTCCTGGCGGCACAGCCTTGTGGTGGTCAGTGGGCACTCACATGCCTCTCTTTTACTGCCACCTTGCTCAAGGGGACAGGATTCTCCTGTCCTTCAGAGGCCCCCCATGGTTGGAATCCAAATGACTTCATGGTGGGACACCCATCTGTTTCAGGTTGGCTCCCTGGGGAAGTGCTGCAGTGGACCTGATTTGAAGGCTTGGTGGAGGGAGGGGTGGTCATCCTGATGTTTCAGACCTGGCCAGGGGCTTCTAGAGCTAGGGCTTCTGCCACCCCTTGCTTCTTCCCTCACCCACCTCTCAGGGGTTCTTTAGGATTGTGTCTCTCCAAAAGGCATCCCAGAAATTGCCCTGAGATTATTGACAATTGTCACACTGAAAGAGACTGTAACAAGCACTTAGGAGTGCTGATTTTATGCTAGCTTCAGAGTGTTCCTTGTTGCAAAGAGCTCTCTTTGTTTACTCTTTGTATTTCTTTTATTTCCACTGCTTGGAAGAAAAGATCACCTTTTCACCCCTACTTCTCCCACCAGACCTCTAGGAATATTTATCCTTGTTTAAACAGTCCCTTATTGGAGCTCAAGTTCATTTTAAGAAAAGCCTTCAAGTCCTTTGCTCTAGGAGGAAAGGGAGGGTGGACTCAACAGACCCAGGCCAGGAGCCTGGGAGCTCACCCAGTGGGCAGGTTGCGGGTTGGGAAGCCTAGAGAACCTCTGGAGTCCTTGCAAACAGGTGTGGTCAGACTCCATACATTGAGTGGAGGGGTGGGCAGGGGTCCCAGTTCTTCAGAGCTCACCCATTGATCTCCATTTTGGTTTTCTGAAAAGCCTTATTTTCTAAGGGCCCTCACATGTAGTCAGAAGGGCTTTCCATCTACTTTGGTTTACTCTGATTTCAGTCTCCTGCTTCAACTTGGTGAGTGAATAAGACCTGAAGTTATGGACTATTTGAATTAGAAGAGACCTTCGAACTCCCCTAAGTCAACCCCTAGGAAGGGAAAGTGACTTATCCATGGTCACACAGCAAAGGTTCTACAGTGTCAGAGCCAGGACTAGAACTAGGGTCTCTTCCTCCAAGCTAAGGCTCTTTGCAGTGTGCTATTAGACTCACCCCACCTACCCACCCCTATACACACCCAGCTGGCCATCCCAGAGAGGATGGATGAATTTAGAGAATCTGCTTGAGGTCAACCAACCACAAGACTTCTGGTGCCAAAACCTCCACTCCTTCCCCCTCTCCTTCCAACCCAATTCCAGCCTCCTAAACCTCTGGAATATTTTGGAGGTGAGCAAAAGCAATCTGCTAAGGCAATGCTCCATTCTTTAGGCATCCTTAGAATTAAAGCTCCTTCCCATTTTAGAAATTAAGACTTTCCCACTCATCAGTCTCTCCTCTTTTCAATTTCCTCCCCACCCTGGCTCTGATTTCATGTCTGTTTTTCTGTTTTTTGGCTACATGAAACATTTCATATGGACAAGTTGCCATGCAGATTATTCCCTATAAATGCAAACGCTGTACTTGGACATGCTGATAAAACTTAACTGTGGTCAATGTGCTGTTCGGGGGAGGTTTTAATAACCCATATTCCTTGGACACGATTTGGAACAAACTGAAACCTGAAGAAACGAAGAACATAATTAGTTGCAGACAATGGAGGAACTACTTCAACACAAAGACTGTAATAGAGGGATGGATTGTCCTGTATTATAGCTGTAAGTGTCTGGTTTCCTCACTGGAACTGACTGCTCAATGGTTTATATCATGTCTGTTTCAATTCTGCATCCTTCACTTTCCCAATCATAGTGCTTTTTGCACATGAGGGCCTGTATGTAGACATGTTTGTTAAATTGAATATTTTTAAGTGTTGTGAGAGTATACTATGGGGTAGAGTCCTCGATGTTTTCATGGCTTTTTAAAAGATTGATCCCTGTGACCAAGCTGTGTCAGGCATTTATCGCCACAATGGTGACGTTTCATAAACCTCCCTAAAACTTAGTAGATTAAAACAATAAACTGCTATTATTTTTGATGGGCTTACAGGTTAGCAAGCCAATTCTGATGACCTAGGATGGGCTTAGTCCATATTTCTGGAGTGTGTTCATGCATCTGTGGTCAGAGAAGTGGATCTAAGGTGGCCTGAGCGAGGGCAACTGAAATGATTGGGCCCTTTCCTCATGCGATTTTTCATTCTCCAACCGGCTAGCCTAACCTTACACTGATGGTGGAGACAGCAGGGTTTTAAAGACCAAGCGGAAACATGCAAGGCCTTTTGAGGTCTGGGCTCAGACCTGGCACACCGTCCTTTGGACCACACTCCATTGGCCAAAGCAAGTCACAAGGCCGGTCTCAGATTCCAAAGCCGAAGAAATCAATACCACCTCTTAGCCGAAGAAATCAGTACCACCTCTTGACGGAAGGAGTAGCAAATTCACATCGAGATAGGTTGGAAAACTATGGTCATTTTTGCATAAGTCTAATTTTAAGGTGAAGGAAGAAAATAGGAATAGTGAAAATGTTATAAAACTGGATTGTGTAGCCGGGCACGGTGGCTCACCCCTGTAATCCTAGCACTCTGGGAGGCCGAAGCGGGTGGATTGCTCGAGGTCAGGAGTTCGAAACCAGCCTGAGCAAGACCCCATCTCTACTAAAAATAGAAAGAAATTAATTGACTAACTAAAAATATACATACAAAAAATTAGCTGGGCATGGTGGCACATGTCTGTAGTCCCAGCTACTTGGGAGGCTGCAGCAGTAGGATTGCTTGAGCCCAGGAGTTTGAGGTTGCTATGAGCTAGGCTGATGCCACAGCACTCACTCTAGCCTGGGCAACAAAGTGAGACTCTGTCTCAAAAACAAACAAACAAAAAAAACAAAAACAAAAAAAAACTGGATTGTGGTGACAGTTGAAGTTTCAGTAAAACTACAGATTTATTAAAAATCATTGAACTGTATCCTTACAATGGGTGAATTTTTTGATATGTAAATTATCCCCTCAGTAAAGCTGTTGGAAATAAAACCCTGAAAATATTTTTTTAAATGTATTGAAGAACACTCAACTCATAATTATCCAAATCTGTATTTAAACTCAGGTATTCTAGCATGAAACTCAGTAATCTTTCCATTGCAATATATTTATCATACCTAAAGTATTAGATTCTCAGAAGCAGGGAGTCTCAGAACTAGAAAGAACTTCTATAGATTATTGAGTACATCCCTCCTTCAAGCGGGTGACTGGGTGAGCCATCTAGCTCAGGTGTGAAAATCCTCTCCTTAGGCTGAAAATAGAAACTCTCTGTAGGAGACCTGAGCCAGGTGAAAAAGATGTCTCACCTTCTTGCGTGCTTTTGGGATCAAGGGTGATTAGTACTGGAAAGAATTTGAACCACTGTTCTTTTCAGAACCAGAAACTGCAGACAAGTTTTTAGATTTTACTCCTTTCATTTTACGATGAGCATCTCCTTGAGTAGCCAGAGTCCCAGATGTGCTCAGATTCTGGTATTAACAGCATTCTCGTTTTCCTTCTATTACCCACTGTCCAAATCTAAATGTCCTCTTTAGGGATGAAAGGGGCTGCATTCAAATCAAAGGTCACCCAAGGAACTTCCTTTGTGGGCTAAAACCTCTGACATAAAGACTCTGGGAAGGAGAACAGTTTTTAAAAAGGTGGTGTGTACGATGCGGTTCTTCTCTTGCGTGCACCAGGGGTCGGTGAGGATGATGAACAAGTGGGAAGTGGCTGGTTTTACTCTGTAATTTGGACTTGTTTTCTGGAGGGGAAAGAAAAAGAGCAGAGTGGTGAGGAGATGGCATCCAGCACTCCATAAGCAGAGCTTTGAAGAGCAAATTGAGCGGCTTTCATCAACGGTGCGGGGACCACATCAAAGCCGCCCAGGGAGCATCCCTCCTCCGTCCGACGTCAGGCAGGTCGCCCGGGCGTTATCAAACACTCTTTCAAGGTATTATGAACCGGAGTCACAGAGAGAGGAGAGGAGGTAAGGAGGAGTGCCGGAAATAAGATCACAGGGATGGGAGACAAGGCAAAGAAGGAGATGCAGCAGCGGCGAAGAGCACGTGGAGGGACAAGAAAGAGGAAGGAGAGGGGAGAGAGACGCACGGGAGGAGACATGGACAGAGAGCAACAGACAGGAGCGGAGGGGACCCTGTAGCAGAACAGAACAAATGTCGATCAGCAGCCAATAGAGGCAGCTGGGAAATGGGAAGGAGAGAGAAACAGCCTTTCTGCAGGGGTGAAGGCCGTGGTGGCAGCCATCTGTCCCCAGGGTGGGTCATCTAGCTTGACTTTTGTTGAGGATTAGTCAGAGCAGCCCGGTGAGTTTCCACATTGTAGAGGGACATCATCACGTCTCAGTAAACGGGGGTGGAGAGCAAAGGAAAAGCAAATGCTTCCGTCTTCTTCCTCCCCGCTCCCCAAACTATGTTTTATATCCGAGGAAAGGGCTATTTGATCAGCCGGGCTGGCCTCACTCGGGCGCTGAAAATCGGAGGGAACACAGTCATTAGAAACCAGCTCGGCGTCCCTCCCAGTCCCCCGGTGGAGCGATTTCATCTTTTTATTACAACGAAGCTCAGGCAGTCCGTGTATACACCTGCCTTCTTCATAGATCAAGTTCGATTTCCCAACTAATTGGAGGGAAACAAACCCACTCCTGGGTCCAACTGAGAAGATTTCCCCATCTCTGTACGGGACCAGGCTCTGTCTTTATCAGGAGGTAAGGGCCTGGGGGCCTGGGTGTTCCACGCGGAGCTCTGGACAGCCGGGGGTCAGCGGGAGGGCACCCCATAAAGAGATATTAGAAATAACACGCATGAAAAGACAGGGTCCCAGTAACAGCCTGACTATTGGTACTCCCTGAACATGGGTTGAAATAAGGCAAGAAACTAGGAGCAATTGGCCAGCGGTTCCCAATTCTTTACTGAAGGGTTTGGATAGGAGCTGAGAGAGTAATAATTGTACCTAGAGTTTATTGAGCCCATCTTTTTTAATGCGCCGTTCTACTTAACCCTCACAATAACCTTCTTGGGGAGACATTCTTCTTATTGCTATTCCCATTTTGCTGATGAGGAAACAGAGGCTCAGAGAGGTTAAACGACTGACCCAAAGTCACAGAGCAGGAAGTGGAGGAGCAGACATCTGAGCTGCAGCTGACTGCAGAGCTGGTCTCAGCCCTTCTGTGGCCCACGTGGCTCCAGTGGCAGAGGGATGTGATGGAAGAGCACGTTGGCCCTGTCTACTCATGAGCAGCGTGCAGGGCGGGGACAAAGGGGATAGCCCTGGAAGCCAGCACTCAGGAGCAGGTGCAATCCAGTGGGGAAGGGATCAGGGTTTGCAGTAGGATGGTAACAGTCCATGTCGCCAAGACGAGGCCAATTTACCACATGAAAAATTTCTGAGCTTTGAGATAAATGGTGCAGTCATTCGCCTAGACGGAAAGTAGCATTACGGTGGGCAGCAGCAAGTTCAGGGAGCTCCCTAAACTTTTCTGTTTCTCTTTATGAAAGCAGAAGACCAGAAAATTGTCCGTAATTACTGAGCCATCGGCACTTAATTACAACACCTCTTGCACGGGCCAATGTGGCAAATGACTGCAGGGCATTAATGAGTATCCTGGAGTCCTCCTCCTCCCACCCCAGCCCTGCCTGGGAACACCCTGGCAAAGGAAGCTCTCCCAGCCCACCCTGTGCAACTGAGGGCTCAGAGCACAGGCTGTGCGGTCAGACAGACCTGTGTTCGGGTCTTGTCTCCACCACTTACTACCTGAATAAATTTAGACACTGTGCCTACCTTCTCTGAGCCACGCTTTCTTCACCTGTAAAATAGGGGCTATAAAAATACCTTCGCACCAGGTAATGTTAGGATAAAATAAAAAGATGAATGCATAACACCTAGGACAATGCCTAGCATATAATAAGCACTCCAAGAAAAGCTATTATTATATTTTCCCAACCCTTCATCTTACCCATTTGAAGCCAAAAGAGGAAGAGGCAAAGCAAGTGAAATTGCTCACATAAAAGCCACATAGAGCCTGGCTGTCCCACCAAAGGCAATAATTACAAAGCTGCTTCAGAGCACAGAGAGTTCCAAGAATGGAATACACATTTGGAACAAGTTCATTAAAAAATTGCTTACTCATAAAAGCCACTGTCGTTACGGCCTGACAAATGGAAGACATGGCACCGATAAATAAGAAGCCGCAGTAAACAAGCCGACTACACCCGGGGTCCCTTGATTGCCGTCTTCCCATCCTTCAACTGTTTCTTAACCTTTTATGGGGTTATAATGACAAGTTCAGGTAGGTTTTATGTGCCTGTTTACTCTGAGTTTTCCCCAAACTCCAAATAGAGAGAAGAAGCCTCCAGGCTTGTGTGCTTAGTCTCCCGGAATGAAATGAGGCAGCCGCAGCCCTGGCAGGCCTGGCTCCCCCTGTGCCTGTTGTCATGGCCTACCCAGAGTCCCCTGGACCCCCAGCACCTCTGCTCCAGTGCCTCCCCTCACGTCTCGTGAGTCCATTCCAAGAAGACTTGTCTCCCTCCCAGTCTGTGCCCTGCTCCCTCCCAAATAGGTCACCGTCACCGTCACCGTAGTGCAATGAGTCCTAAATGGAAAGTCAGGTGACTGAGATGACAATGCAGCCCGGACACTTACTAACTGGACATTGTCACTTAACTTCTCTGAGTCTCAGTTTTGCTGTCTATAAAATGGGGATAATGAACCCGCTTGATAGTGTTCCTGGAAGGTTACATAAGTTTACAGTCATGAACTTGCCCTATAGAGTGTCTGGCACATGTTGCATATGCATGTTAGTTAGTCAATGGCAATGATTAAGCACCCCATATCTGAGCTCTGTCCCATGAATTTGGGGGCAGGGTTGGCAATGGGAAGAGGGGTCTAGACCAACAAGGGTCTACCCTCCGAGTTTCGTGACCCCATGCAATAGAGATCGATAAGACTTCAGATGCTTTCAAAGAGTTTCCAAGTGCAGACATGACCCAGGAAATGGGGTGAAGAGAGCTGGGTGCAGGTACCACCACTGCTCTCACCCTGTCCTCGCCTTCCCCCGCCCCACAGGACTTGGCTATGTCTTGTTCCCGTGCCAAGGGAAGGCCAGTAACATCAGAAAGGAAGCAGCTTAGTGCTTTTACAGAGCCTGGGGCCAAACACAAACTTGTGCCAGCATTTACCAGAAACCATGGTAAATCTTACAAATTCTTACATAACGAAAGCAAGTCATTCCTGAGCCCACGTTCTCCCTTTCCACTAAAGCCCCACCTACGTGACTACAGTTTTTCAGGAGGTTAAAACAAAAACGATGCGTCACTTAGTTACACAAATCAGCAGCCAATGTGGACTTTGAAAACCTTTATTTATTTTGTAAAAAGGGAGCTAAAGCACTAAGTAAGGAATTTGGGGAGCAAAATTTTCTAAAGAATCAGCTTTCTGGGTGTGGGTGCCCACCCATTGTGCTTGAAGACAGGCAGTAGCTAGCTTGGATTTGAATATACAAATGCTAGGTGGTTAGGTACCCACTCTCTTATTCTAGAAATATTTATGAATACCCACAGTGTGCAAAGCATTGTGCTAGCCACTAAGACACCAAGATCAGAAGGCTCAAAAAGTAAAGGCAGACTGTCTCTCAACTAAGATGCTGCTGGAGCCTCTTCTCAGTGATCTTTTTAGCCTTAGCAACAGGCCATGCGTCAATATTTCATTAGCATCTTCATTCCACTGGCTCTTGCTCCAAACCAGCATCTTGGTCGGAAGATAACGGTCAGTCTCTCTGATTTAACTGTAAGCTCCTTGGCGGGGGATAAGAACGGGGTCTTAATCCTTATTTTTCTGCAGCTCCATGTTTAATGCCAGCCCCACCCCTAAGAGGCACTCCAGGAGAGTTGGGCAGGCCTGGGCTCTGAGCACTGGGGCATTCTGAGCAGGTGCCGCTGACAAAGTGATTCAGCTCATTTAAGCTGCAGCTTCCTCACTTGTAAAATGGAGACACTTCTGATTTGCAAAGTTTGGAGGGAGGAACAGAGAAAGGGTCTGTAATGAGCTGGCCTGGGGACCAGTCCCATAGCAGGATATAAGCGCATCATGAGAGCTCCTATTATTAAAAGTAGACCCTCCCAGGGTCCCATGTGAGGGGGCCCAGTGACACCAGGGTGGAGCCAGGGGTCGTAGACTATGGGAAGTCAGATGCTACAGCTAAAAAAAGCAAAAAGGCTCAAGTGAATTTTTTCCCCATTTTGCTAAAATAATATGCTCTAAGCCCGAGACCTTTTCACTCCTGTCTGCTGCCCGAAACTCATTTCTCCAACAGAGATCTAAGCCACCATAAATCCCATCCGGGGTCAAAACGGCTGACACAATTTTAACTACAAGAGAGCACAGCATAAATGGTGTCATTATTATCCCCAAGGGCTGCTCTCTGCCTTTTCTAGGGGACAAAAGAAAAAGTCATATTTTTTAGCCTAGAAATATATATTAATAGTATTCTAGAATTTTTGTGGGACAGATTCAAGAACCCAGAAGCACAAAAAAAAAATTATTATAGGAAAGTATGACCAGACATAAAGTGAACAACCTTTTTGCTTTTTTTATTTTTTAATCTCCTTACTGCTATCCTACCCCAAAACCTAGAGAAGCTGTTTCTAAGTTATAAAATCAGCTCTGCCTTCAATCTCCTGTGACTCTCAGCCCTTTATGTTCTATAACCAAATCCGCTCTAGTGAGCGACACTCACTCGTCACCGAGACCACATGCGCCCTCCTGGGGAGGTACAATCTGCAATGTGATTCTGACACTAAGCACCAAGCACCCGGAGTTAGTGCAGACTCCACGAGAGGACAGTCCCCGACAAGACCACCTCACTACAGTCATCAGCCACAGGTACAGGGGTGCCCAAGCCACCTGTACTTGTGACTAAGTGGCTAAAAATTGGGGGGGAAGGTTCCTACAGCCCCCTCAGGCTCAATGAATAACTAGAATGACTCACAAAACTCAGGAAAGTACTATACTTATGATTAAAGCTTTATTATACTATAAAGGATACAAATCAGGGCCAGCCAAATGCAAAGATACACAAAGCAGAGTCTGGGAGGGTCCTGAACGAGGAGCTTCCATGGCCCCTCCCTGTGGACTCAGGATGTGCCACCCTCCTGGCACGTTGCCATGCCACCAACCAGAGAGATCATCTGAGCTTCCGTGTCCAGAGTTTTCACTGGGGTTTCATCATGTAGCATCACTGACTGAATCACTGGCCAAGGGGTTAAACTCAATCTCCAGCCCCCTGCCCTCCCTGCCCCCCAGTTTGGACCAATACCCTGTGGCTCAAACCCCTAACCCTCCAATAACATAGCTGGTCTCCCCAGCATGTCCTGAAACTATCCAGGGGCTCACTGTGAGCCATCTTGTTAGCATATGCTCAGGCAGGGAGGTCCCAAGGGCTCACCATGGATAACAAAGATACTCTTATCACTTGGGAAATTCCAAGGATTTGTTTAGAAGCTACCTCCCAGGTACCCAGGACAAAGATCAGGCAAATACTTTATTATTACATCAGGAGGGAAGGTTCTAGAATCCTAGAAACAATCTAGACCCAAATGCCTGTTCACCTGTTGCCAACTTCAGCAAGTCAAACTCCTCCCTGATGACTTCTCAGTCTCTTCGTTCTGGGTACCATTGTGCCTGGCCAACCTCATTTCCACTGGCCCCCATCACAAAATCTGCCTTCCACCCCTGCTGCTCTACCTCAGTCTCCCCAGACAAGTCACAGGATACCGAGAGAACCTCAGATGCACGGACAAATAAGACCAGCAGGACAGAGCCCACGCTAATACTTAAAAACGAGCAGAGTGAGAGAAGCCCAGACAGGAGTCTGAAGAGGTAGGAGAATCCAGCTGCTACCTGTGCTCATAGGGGCCCAGGGGAAAAAAAACGTTGTTCACTATGCAGGGGAGAGCCAACATGTGTCAACTACTGCAGGGAGGTCAAGGAAGATAATGGCTTAACAGTTGCATTGGATTCTGCAATAAAGTAGTCATCGATGACCTTGCTGAGAGCAGTTTCAGGAGAGTGATGAGGGCAGGAGCCAGATTGCAATGGGTGGAATACAGAGTGGGAAGGAAAGAAGCATAGAAACAGCCACACATGTCTCTTTACAGAGAAAGCAGTGGGTGAAAAGTGCCATGGGGCCGGAAAGGACTTGGATATACAAGATGGAAGGCTTGAGCATGTTCAAGAGCTGAAAGGTCAAGGGCAAGAGAGAGAGAGAGAGGGACAGGATGAATACACAGGCAAGAGAGAGGGAGAAGTGTCCAAGTCAGGCTGCTAAGGAGCCAGGAGAGAGAAGCTGCAGAGGACAAGGGGAAGGATGAGCCCACACAAGGAGAAGCTCTTCCTCCATGATATCCAAGGTGCAGGAGGGAGGCATGGAGGTGGACAGGGGTGGTTTACAGGTTTGGTGACAACGAGTTAAGGACAGGGACATCCTCATCTTTGGCTTCCATACCCTCTGTGAAGTAGATGGCACTATCCAATGCTTACCTTGTGAAGGTCAAATATTTGAGGGGAGGAGGAGAGCCGAGGAGGCATGAAAAAGCTAGGCTGGAGGACTAGAGAGAGTGCTAACTTAGGGACCCCAGGAGCAATTACAGGGCAGGGGCTGAGAGCAGTGGAGTCTGGGAGCCAGCAGGCTGCAGTGAATAAACCTATAGATAGATGTGTGTGGGTTTCTTTCTCTAGGACATGCAGCAACATCAGTAGAGATGGCTGATAGTTTATTAGCTCCAGGGTTCAGTTTTTGCTAGCAAAGTACAAAAGAGAGACAATGAAGCAGCAATATTAGCAAGACAGAGGCTGAAGTACAACCAAGCTGGAGAGGGCGTGAGAAGGGGCCTGAAGATATGAATGCCGCAGAGACAGAGGGTGAGATTGATAGTCTGGGAGTCCCTAGTTAAAATGAAAAAAAAAAAAATAGAAATAATGTGAATTATTGAGTAAAAGAGGTAGAAAGATAGGAGGTTGTAGGAGGTGACATAAAAGAGGACAAGGTCCAGGTGGGCCCATGCAGGTGCACGGCTCAGATGGAAGGGGCATGTGGGGGAGAAGTGGGAAGAGGCAAGAGTGGGGGTTCAGGGTGTCATTGGCATTCTCGTGAGCACCGAGGGAGCCCAGGATGGGAGCAGGGTTCGAATGGAGACAAAGACTGGAGTCACATGCCCTGTCCTTAGTGAACGGGGAGAGTGACTAAGAGACCGTTAGATGAGGATGAGGAAATGCAGGGTGGAAATTACAAATCAGAGGCCTACGGGCCAAGTCTGATCAATAGCCAGGTTTCCTTTGGCTGGCACAGTGGATTTTGCTTATTTGTTTTATGATGGATTACTACCTACCTTTTAAAAATCAGGAGAGTTCACATAAAAGTCTGGCTTGTTGGAAGGCTGCTCTTAAAAACCTTGAGGATTTGCAACACGGGACTCGTCTCCCTCCATCGTGCGCTGCGGAGCAACTGTGCCCTTCTCCAAGTATCAAGGAGTCTCTAGCTCACTGCCCCCACCATGGGGCTTGAGTCACTTACTTAAGGGACAATCCAGCCCTTGTCACATTTCACTGGGGACCTCAAGGAAAGTGCAGGCAATGCCAGCCAGCAAGAGCCAAAAAGAGGCCAAGACTTTCACAGGAGTCATTTTGGGGAGTGATGGCAGGGAGCAGGGATGGTGCCAGTGCCACCTGCCGAACCTGAGATCTGGGGGAATTAGCAGTCTCCCCTTGGGAAGGTGGCGAGGAAGTGGAATACTCAAGGGACACCCCGGTCCAGATGGAAAGGTGGAGGGAACAGAGCGGCAGATGAAGGGTCCGAGATTATGAATGAGTTTGTGCATTGTGGAAATTCCAGGAACAGATATAAAAGTGTTGGTAGGGGCTGGGCCAGGTGTGAGGGAGCACAGAGCAATAGCATAGGACAGGAAGTCACATGGGAAAACATACATTTGAAATGCCAGCCTCTAATGAGAAGCCTCAAAAATTTCAAACAAATTATTTTTAGGAGCAGCCCGGTGGCTGGAATGGAGTCACTGACTTGGACCCTGAGTACCCAAATTCTCTTAGGAGGGTCCCTGCCAGGACAGCTCCAAAACACCCAAAATTAACCTTAAGACCAAGGCACGGGGGAGTGAGTCGGGCTAGGTCTGCTTGAAAATTTCACCAGCGCTTGGCTCAAGATCCAGGAGAAAGGAGTAGAAACTCTTCGACCTTCTCTTCCCTCACCACACAGATTTCTAGCACCATCACACAAAAACTCTTAGCTATGCATTTCTGCCAAAATAATATGTATTGAACGGACTTTTGTGAGCAGGCCAAGGAAGCGGGTCACCCTATTAAAGGACTATTTTCCAAGTAAATTGTGTTCCAGCTTTTAAAAAACCAACCTGTAAATTTCAGCACACAGCTAATCGGTAGGGTAAAGATTGCCTATATATTAAACCAAATTTCAGAAAACATGTAAAGGTTTCGGATTGTTTTGCTCAATAACACTATCAATCACGGCATCTGCACTTACACCTTCTGACAATAACTACGTATTCATCAAACACTCCCTTGGTTCATTTTACAAAAAGCTTCTTGCTCACTCCTCCCTGGAATCAGCCCAGGTTCCTCCTGAAGTGCTCTGGCAGGTGCTAAGACGCTGTGGACTTCGGTGGCCCTGTGGCCTTCACTGCAGGCTGTGGCCCCTCAGTAGGGGATGACTGGGGTAAGTGGCATGACCTCAAGGATCGACACGGAGGTGACACCGATCGGTCTGCCCCCTGTTCTACCCCACTGTGAAATACCCATCACACACTCTCTCTACGCCCTTCCTCTCTCACTACCTTGCTCTCCGATCTTAAACAAACTCAGAGAGATCTGCCATCTCGAGACGGCTTTCCATTCCGATTTCCTATTATAAATTTCCTTCCTCTTTTGCCTTTTCTTCTGTTCTCTCCTTGTCAAAAAAAAAAAAAAGGAGCAATAAAAGCAATCGAAGAACTCACACTTTCTCACCTTGTCTCACTGCAGCCTAAACAAGAAAATGTCTTATTAAAAAAAAAAGGGTGGAGTGGTGGTGAGGGGAGGGTGGAGAAAGGTGATATTTAATTTTATTGGGGAGAACGAATCATTGCTGGAGAATGCCTGTGGCTAAATGAGACCATCAAACCAAGAGCGGAGCGGCGAGGCGCGCACAAATATGAAGTAATATCTCTCTACTCTGAGGGAAGCTGACACTCAATTTCAGGAGCTTCAGGCAGGCAGCCACGGCTACCTTCTTGCAACCATTTTCAACTGCTCCTACTCTCTGCAGTGAAAGCTTAAAAATGCAAATGAAATGGGGCCATTTAAAGAAAAATATCCCTTCGAACTGTGCTCTGGGAAAGGAAAAAAAAAGAAAAAAAATGCCTGTAGCTCAGAGGGCAATCTTAAAGTCAATGAAACTCGGCGGTGCTGGGCGATGCTTCATGCTGATGGATAATGTGTGCTGTGCTTCTCCCTCATGAGTTTAGAAGTATTTAAAGAAAAGGGTAAAATCACCCTGTTTAGGAGATTAATTTCTTTTCTGAAAAAATGTCTGTTTTTGCTGTCACTTCTGGTTTGATGAAGGGGAAAACCAGAGCTTTTTCTGAACGTTTGCTGCTGAACATTACCAAAAGTCTGTGTGTGTAGCGGGGAAAGGTGGTTGGGAACAATACCCTCAGGGGGTCAAATCCTGCCCCATCTCCTCCAGCAAATTCTAAGGCTTCTGTTATCCTGAAAGCCATTGTAAAAGTACTTCTTCAGGGACAGAGATTCTAATAATATGCCAAACATCTACTGAACACTAAACACCAGGGACCGAACTTAGCACTCTGCATGAATTATCTCACCTTCGTAACTCCCTCTCCCTCCAAACACATATAGACACAGCAGGTTCTATTACTCTACCCATTTTACAGGTGAGGCAACTGAAGGTATAGAGATCAAACAACTTGCTTATGGTTTACAGAGCCAGAAAGTGGCCAGGCTAGAGTTCCAGTTCAGACAGTCAGCTCCAGAGCCCAAAGCTACACAATGCTGCGTGGTCCATAACATCCTCTCAAGGAATGTTCGCCTTAATTCCATTCAACAAGCCTCACCAAATTAACATCATTCGATCAATGATGTCTTGCTTTCAAATTTCTTTCTTTGAAAGGGAAAAGCCCTTTACAAAATGACCATGTGGATGACAGAAGGTAGTCAGTATTTCGTAAGCAGGCACTATAAACCTAGGGCTGCAGGACAAAGTGGGGACAGAGGCAGTTAACCAAGGACATTTTGCAGTTCACGCCCTTCATGTGCTTGAGATACAACTGGAAGCCTGTCTCTACTAAGCCACTTAACACAGAAGCCCCTTAACATAGAAGTACCTCCATTGATTTGGAACCTAAATTTTTCTTGGTGCAACTCAAGTACGTTTTCCCACTTTACGGTGAGGTATTTGAGCCAGCTGCCAACCTCGCCACCTTCTCTAATTCTTAGGGAAAGAGTACAGTGAGAAGATGACGATATGCAGAGCAATAAGCACTCTCCTACACTGCTGGTGGCAATGGAGATTGGTACAGTCATTGGGGAAAATCGTTTGGCATTATCTCCAAAATTTGGAGCTGTGTATACAGCCTGCAACCCAGAATTTCCGACCTTAATGCATGAGCACCAGAAGTCAGTCATGCATATGAATGTTCCTAGCAGCCAGCATATATAAAAACTTTTGACACTGATCTATTGAAAATAAATTAATTACAGCCGCATGCATGTATCAACATGGTTGAACCTCAGAAGCATAATGAGCTAAAGAAAGAAGTGACAGATGGAAACATAGCGTGTGATACACAGAACGTTCAAAACAGGCAAAACTAAGCTATTAATACATTGTTTAGGGATACGTAATAGGTAGTAAAGCTATTTTATTTATTTATTTATTTTTAATCTGCATCACATGGGCAAGACGAGGGGGAGAGAGAGAGTGTGTGTGTGCAAAGCTATTTTTTTTAAAAAAAGCAAAAACAATTCATCACAAAAGTCAGGAGAGTGGTCATCTTGGGAAAGAAGAGAAGAACACGATGGGAAAGAGCACCTGACGGGGGGTGGGGGGTCTTCTAAGATACCGGCAAGGCCCCAGTATTGAATCTGGATGGGGCTAAAAGGGTACCCCTTTCTGAAAGATCCATTAAACAATATATAGTAAAATGCATGTTGGTTGTCAAACATGGTCTTTTGTGGGTATAATATATGTGAATATACTTTTGTGTATATATATCCCAATATCAAGAAAGTATGCATCCTGGCTCAATCTATGGCATACAGTGATCCTCTATTCTTATGTGGAGTTTTAGAAACTCTGAAATCATTGGGGTTCTGCTTAGTCTGAAATTCTTTCTAGAGCATGTCACCATGATACTGTCCCATCCCTGTTTGGTTGCCTACGGTTACAGGAAACTCAATACCTTTCATATAAGGCCATTTCTTCTTTATTTAGGGTTTATTCCACAGGCAATGGAGCCCCCAGTTTGTTTTTTAACTGTGGAAAAATATACAGAACATAAAGTTTGCTATTTTAGCCATTTTGAAGTATACAGTTAGTAGCAATAAATCAATTCATATTGCTATGCTACCACCACTATCCTCCATCTCTGGAACTTTCATCTTCCCAACCTGAAACTCTGTGCCCATTAAACACAAGCTCCCCATTCTGCCCTCCCTCAAGTCCCTGGTAACCATTATTCTACTGTCTGCTTCTATGAATTTGACTTCGGCACTTCATGTAAGTAGAATCATATAATCATATAATAAAAAAGTAGAATCATAGAATTTATCTTTTTGTGTTTGGCTTATTTTATTTAGCATAATATCTCCAAGGTTCATCCATATTGTAGTATTTGTCAGAATTTCTTTCCTTTTGAAGGCTAAATAAAATTCCATTGTACATATATAGCACATTTTGTTCATCCATTCATGTGTGGATGGACACTTGGGTTACTACTACCACCTTTCAGCTCTTATAAGTAATGCTGCTCTGAACATGAGTGGAAGCCCATTTTTTCTTGACTGTTAATAAGTTTTTCCTTATGCTCAACTAAAATTTTTCTCCTTATAATTTCTGCTGGTTGATCTTCATTCTCCTACCTTAATTCTTTGCAAGGCCAATCCTCTCCCTTTTCCTCACAAGGAAACCTTAGACATTGGAAGACAACGTTGACATTCTACTTGCCTCTTCTTTAGTCCAGATGTTACAAAGTTCTTTCAATCATTTCCCGTATGACATATTTTCCATGTCTTTCATCATCCTAACATGCTTCTCTGGATACATTGTAGATTACATTAACTTTTAGGAAAATCCCATCTCACTATTGTTTGATCTTATGCTTATGGTCCAATAAAAGCCCTTTACTTAAAGCCCTTTCCTTTGCAATGTTAGCATCTGCAAAACCAGGTCTCCCTTGTTCTGTGGTTGTGCCATTGATTTTTTTTTTCTTTTTGAGCTTCATTGCAGTAGATTAGCATTTATATGTGTTAAATCTTATCTTCTTGAATTTGGACCAGACTTCCAGTCTACAGAAATACATTTAATGTTATTCCATATGACTCAATGTCATAAAAAAAGGAAATCATGTTTGTCATTGTGTTCCTTCAAATTATTGATTTATATGTTAAACAGAACCTAATGAAAGCAAAGGTAAATCTCACCAACTTCTCCTTCCAAATTATGACTTTGCAACATGCTTTAAATACATAAATTCAACCAACTAGAAATCCACATAACTTCAATATAATCTAATTCAGCTATCATAGTCTCATCCACTAGAACATCATAGAACACCTTGGCAAATATTTTGTGGAAACCAAGAAATTCTAGGTTTATGGACCTTCACAGATTTGCCAGTATAGTCAGTCCATAATGGGTCGGTTTATGGTCGCAGTATCTGTACTGGCTTCTAGCAGTCACCTCATTCTTTTCTAACCATGCACAAAGCATGAGTTTAGTGCTCTGTTGATAAATTTTGTCAGATCCCATATCCAATTGTCTCAGAAGTGGCTTCCAAAACTCCTTTTCCCCTCTTTTTGAAAAGTAGAAGAAAATTTT